CATTAACAAGAAGTATTTACAATTTCACACCTGTGGATGTTTACCTCTATAAAAAAAGTTAAATATTATGGTAGCCCAGTGGTATACACATCATTAGTAATACTCCAGACATGGGTAAATATGATGTGGATTACAGAGACATGATAGAGAGAAAAGTAGTTTTTGTGTATGTATGTTTAGACTGACTTTGACCTTGAATTGATATAAAAAATAGGAGAGGTGTCAATGATTGCCATTGAGAAACTATTCAGCCTTCAACTATGAACATTTTGATAGTGCATTCACTTGTAAAAAAACATGGGGAGCTTTGTTAGTAAAGTTTGAACTGATGAATGGCCAGTGAGCTTCCCCATTGTCCAGACTACAATCAGGTTTTAGCAAAACTGGTCAGCAGATTTTCATGTGTGTTACTGAATACCTGATATAGTTTAAATTTGAAATTATAATTTCTATAAAAAAAAAAACCCTGGTTTGATGAAATCGGTTTTTAAACGACAAGTTTTATTTATCTATTTAGGAATAAAAAAGAGGAGTGCATTGTTGAACTTGGAGGGGGGGGGAGGAAATCACAATCAATGTGTGCAGATTTTCAATTATTTTAAAGGTTCAATTCTCAAGTATTGCTCACTTATTAGGTGGGATTACCATGATTTTGTTGATAAATGTATAGGGTATTTAATCCCTTTTGACTTTACCCATTTACCAAGTATTAATGTGTTTATTTGTCTTTCACCTATTCCTAATTAATATTGGGTCACCAGGTGTACACAGTTTGTTGTAGAAGATTCACGGTCCTTCGGTTCACAAACTTGTTACCGTGTATCAGATGGTATAGAAACTTTGAAGTATTGCCATCTAAGGTTTCGTAGAGATTTATATGGGGATTTATTTTTTTAAAAAGTAAGTGGAAAGAGTCTTGCACCATATAGATTTAAATTTCTACACTAAAATGTTTCATGAAGTGTATGTTTCGTGTATTTTATATAAGTCTTCACTTTTGAGTTGGAACACAGAGCTGAAGGTCTCGGTTTGATTTCAATGTTTCAGCTTCAGTTTGTTCTTGTATGCTCCAGTCTATGAAAGTTTAATAAAATGATGATGGTTCATTGTTTACATGAATAAATTGCAGTTTAACTGAATACATTGAAATCAATTATTTATGTTAATTTCAACAATAATTGTGGCGACTGGCTGTCAGGTCTTTGTTGTAGAATAGGGAAGTTTTGTCAAGTGTGACATGGAACCATTCTCCTCTTGTTGTTTGCATGTAGTAGTTTTAGTATATCAGGAACAAATATTTTTATGTTTTCAATTTTCAAGGACACTCAATTGAAATCATAAATGTGGACTAAAAAGGGATGAAGGAAAGTTTGATTAATAAAAACATAAAGAGGTTATTGATTTAAATCTCATGTGATTACAAAGGATTCTGTGACACAAGAAGCTGTAGAATTGAGTGACACATGTTCTTCTGGTCACGTTTGGCTTCAGTTTCATGTTGTTCAAGGTATTAAATGTAAATGTGTATTGGATTAGCATGATGCAAGTTTGGATATATTTTAGAAAATGAAATATAACTTATAGATTCTAGTAATTTCTGCAGTTTGAAGTTAGTCAAGAGAACTTAATTTAGGGAAAAATTGTATGGACATTATTTATTGAATATTGGGTAAGAATTTAGTTTTATTTTCTGAAAATTATGGATTCATATCCAAGATGAACAATGGTGACGAGAAATGCTATGAAAGTCCATCGGAATTTGTTAAAATAAAAAGAGATTGTAAAGATAATGTGTAAAAAAAAATAATCTAGAATTATCTGTATGTTCAGCTGTTTATTATTTATTATAGATATTTGATTGAAAAAAGTATATGATTAATTGGATAATTTTATCAGAAATTGATATTTTATCAACTATTCTTCTTATTATTTTTTTCTGGTCAGATGTGAAAAAAAGACGTGATTAATGAGAATATTTATCAAATCTTTGGTTTATACATACAGCTTTATACTTCTTTTGCAATTAACGAGACATTTTTATGATTCATATATTTTTTTATTTTAAATAATAAGAAGATTTATGCTGAATTGTCATTTTCTTTCACATATTTTTATTTACCAAGTATTCGTACTCTGCATAATTGCACAATTATTTAAGGTAAATTATCTTGCAGTTAAAAGTTGACAATAATCTGCCTTTTATAGAGAGTTTATTTACGATCCCTCTAGATTATAAATTATAGATATGAATAAGCTCATTATTATTTTATCAGTAATTATGAGAATCTTGATAATAGGGGAGTTTATACCCCAGGTAGATTACAGGTGTAGATATGATAGCAATCTCCTCAGACAGGTAAACACCATAGAATGAAGAAAGAAAATTAGTCTGTTTACTATGTAAGTTAAATAACAACAATAACCTAATGGTCTAGGCTGTGTTATTTTTTTGTATGGATTTACAAAGGATATAAAATTTTAATTCACATCTTTACTGAAGTAAGTTATTTCTTTAAAAAAATCCATTTACTTGGTAAAGTTATAGGTATTGAAAGCTGTTAAAGATGGGTTGGGTAGTAACAGTCCTAGAAGTAGTGACTTGGATATCTTGGCAGGTTTTGCTAATGGTTAACGATTCATTATATCCTTACAAGTTACTGCTGAAAATGCTTAAAAAAATGTTTAACCCAGCAATTTGAGTTACTTACATGTATATAATGTAAATTATTTCGATCTCCAATTCATTGATAGACTGGGGATTTCGGGAATACACATCTGTTGCATAGAAATAAACAAGTCTTGTATAATAAAAGTTGGGAAAGTTTACAGATGTGAAGATTTAAATACAATGATATAGATGGGTGCTGGTTTTAAGAGCATTGTTAGCAGGAGCAACATGTTAAAAGCTTTGTCTGTAGAATGTCAAAGATAATTATTTGCCTGTTTCTATAAACAAAAAAATCAGAAAAAGTAACCATTGCATTAATTTTCATATAAAGAAAACATGTTTTAATACAAATTTTATTTTATTTAAAAGAGAAAAAAAATATTTGTTAAACTACATCTAACAAAGTATTGAAATTGACATTATTCTCACTTCTGGCACTGATGCAGAATGGTATAATTTGCTGTGATACTTAAAAACATAAGTCATTTACTGAGAGGAAACTGCTTTAATTACAAGATAATTTGTTCAGGCAATTACATAAGATGTAGCAAGCTTTTAAGTTTTAACACATGCTGAAAGGAAAATGGAACCTTGAAGACAAGATAATGAAAAAACCAGGTGATAATGATAAATAATTTCTTAAAAGTAGCTTTCAATCTCTTCACCTGTAAATATTCCTGTGCTGAACAATAATATTTGGTTAAAGATGATGCAACTTATTTATTTTTGGAGGTTCAAATTAAAGAGGTTTCATATCGGGTTTATTGACATGTATGTTTGATAATGTATTTGCCAAGTTTTTATCTTATAAGATTTAGGAAGTTGAATTACAGAATAGACAAGCTTTAGGAGAAGTGTTTTCTAAGAAACCCAAAGTCCTCATATAAGCCCTTGAGTCTTTACCTGAGTTTGAAAAAGAAAAAGTTCTGTGAATGATAGTATACAAAAATCTGCTTTATTCAAAGCTTATCTGTAGCACTTTTCACTTTAATACAAAGTAACATAGGCCATTTTACAAAATTTTTTCTTGTCTGTCTTTGCCAAAGTTTTGTTTAAGTTTCAGGAAGACCGCAAGGCCTATGGTTATGTGTAGACTTACTGGGTGTTTTTTGTACTTAATTTGAGTTGAATGTGCAGTGATACAGACATAGACTGTCATTTAAACAGTAGTAAAGCTGCTGATACAGACATAGACTGTCATTTAAACAGTAGTAAAGCTTCAGAAAAGGTTTAGGATAAACTTTGTGTCTAGATTTATTTTAGTATTTCAACACTTCACATGTTATCTTTTTACCTCTGATAAATCTTTAGCCTCTCATATATTATATAAACAGGAACCAGATAGTTTATCATTTCTGAACATGCAGTTGACTTTTCTTCAAGGTCAAATTTTAATGAGTTTCATTGTATTTCTCTACATGTTTCCTTCCTTCTATTGAAGATAAGAGCTTGATGAAGTCATTTGTTATTTTGTCAATTTGACCCATTGAACTTTGAAGTATCTATTCTTATATAAATTTCCTTGAAATGAAAAACAGCTTGAAATCGATTTATGCCTGGTGAAAGTTACATGGGTAATTTGATGTTAATTAATTATCTTTTATTTAGAAGGATTACTGGAGTTTATTTTTTAGACAAACTGACTACCTTATGATCTTTATTAAGATCATGACTCACTTTGTCTTTGAAAAAAGTGTGTAAATTGCCAATTAATGTAATTTTGTTTTGAATTTTTGTCTGCAAGAAGAAAAGTTTGATGCAAAAACATGTAATGAATCATGTTGTCCTGTATAAAGAAACTTATATTTTGATGTCTTACAAAAACATATGTTTTGGAACCAGCATGAGTGTCATCACAGGAAAACAGTTATAGAAAAATTAAAACATCTGGAAAGAATTATTGTTATGAGTTTGACACGGCTGTATATGTCTTACAGAAGTTTGTTAATTGAAATTACCAAGATTTTTGTTATTTTGTGCTTGTCTGTTCACGGTTGGAGGACACGTCTAATTAAACTTCTCCTTTGGTAAATTTATTTTCTGTGTGATTAAACAAGAGTTCTATTATCCACTGTGTTGTTGTTTAAACCATCTGCCTCTTTAGTACAGTTGTTTTGACCAGGGAAAAGCTGTTTCCAGCAAGGTGTTAATGCTTTTTGATATTAAGTTATTAATATCTGCTCTGAAAGTAATTAATGAATTGATTCCTACATTTATATGATTATTGATTAATCCAGGTTGGTGAAGGTTTCTATTCAGATTTGTGTTATTTAATCGAGAGATCAATTATTGCATTGGATTATTTTTACATGTTTTATTTCTTATTTTGCAGTGTGTCGGGAGCTAAAGCTGGAGACGATTTACTGAGAAATAAATCAAGGTCACGTTCAGTCGGAGGATCACCATTGGAGTCTCCAAGAAGTAGTAAACTTGTTCATCAAACTAGTACTCATGGTAACAGAGCTCAGAGACAGCGCTCATTCAGAAACAATGAAGAGGATGTGAAACGTTCCCGTTCTCATTCTGTTTCTTATGAATTGTCAGAAGATTTAAAAGAAAAACAATTGGAAATGTTAGAGAGAAAATATGGAGGTTCACTAAGATCACGCCGTGCTGCTAAAACTATTCAGCAAGCATTTAGACAGCACTGCATGAACAGAAACTTTGAAAAATTACGACATTCTGCAGGAGAAAGGAGATTATCAAAACGATTGTCTGAATTAGGTCGCAGTAACACAGTTTGGACTGACAGAATTACAGATAATGTTCAAACAATGGGTGCCCTACTTGTGCAAAATAATGTAGAAGGGCACAATCAAAGTGACAATTATCAAAATAAGAGTGGCGAATCTAGACTTAGACCTCAGATGTCTTTAGATCAAAATATGAAAATTGATTCTTCATTACGGACAAAAATTTCAAAATTTGAAAGGAAAAAACTAGAACGTTGTAAAGAGGTGGATTTAAGCGACATTCCTGAAAATCAAAATTGTGACAAAACTGTTGATGAGGCAAACAATAATAGGAATTCTTATCCTGAAATGAACCAAAGTAGTGCTACTGATTCATCACAACGTGGACCAACGGAAAATGCAGTTGATTTACCTAGTCTTAATTTTGAAACTCTGTTAGATAGTCGAGAGACTGAAATTTTAGTTGACAGCTTTAATAGTGACAGTATTAACAGTGACGGTCAAAATGAAATTACAAATTACACATTTACTCATAAACCTTCTGCATCATCATTATTTTCAAATGCAAGTACGGACACTTTAGAAAGTAACAAAAGTGCTTCTTATGAAAACTTTAGGACTAATTACTCTGATTCCGGATCATGTGGTAGTCAAGGGGATTTACAAATTAAAGGAGAAACCGATAGTTCTTCATTAGAAAATATACGAACACCCGAACAAAAACAAATGATAGATCAGACTTTACGATTTTATATGAATCAAGAAGTCAAATTACGGAATAAACAAATAGCAGAAGTGATTTCTAAGAAACCTCCTCAAGTCCCTATAAGAGCCCCAGAGGCTTCACCAGTTTGGAAACGAAAAAGTGCTATGAATGGTAGTATACAAGTTAAACCAGTAGAAAAACGAATGAGCAATATTTCAGAGACAAGTGAAGGATCATTTGATGGTAACTGTTCTAGTTCTCCAAGTTCAGAAAATGTTAACGGTGAAAATGTTAGTTTAAATAGTGAGAGTAGTCTACATTATCAGAGACGATCACGACTAAGTGTAACGCCTGATCACCATCATTCTGTTCCAAAATCTGCAGACAAAGTTAGAAAACGTACCTACAGAATTGGAATGAACTTATTTAACAAGTAAGTGGTGAAGAATGAACAAGTTTTTAGCTTGGTGTCATTTATTTTTTTTCTATATAAAGTATGCTTTTATAGAAGTATTTTAATCAGCCTGATAGATGAGGTCACTTGATACATGTTTATAAAATATATTTAAATGAGGGGAAACTCATGACCAGAAAGTAATTTAACAAACACCCTTAATCTCTTACAAGCACACTTTCGGGTAATGTCTGTACACTTTGGTTTATTGCATCATTGTGTCATGATACCACATAAGGAAATATCTATTCAGTTTTAATTAAGACTTCAAGTGTGGTTGTAATTTGAATAAAAATTTTCAATGAGGGACTTTTGTTTATATATTACATTTTTAGTTTATAAAATAATGACATGTGATATTAAATGTAGTTCCTTATTAGTCATCAGAAATCACTTATGAAGTATTCTTATTCTCACACCACATCCCTTCCTTTACGTAATCATTCCTTTCCTGTTGTTAACTTTGATTGCAATCAAAAGTACAAGTCAGGGCCTTGTCTTTTTCATGGAAACTGTGTATGTCATTTAAAGACATCAAGTCATGTGATTTGAAAGAAAAAACATATTAAGCATCTGCACATTAACATTCAAGTTGGAAAAACAAAGTAATTGCCACTATTTACACAAATTCTAAATTAAGCAAGTGGCTGATGCATATCTTTCTATTTTATGAAATTAAAGCTTACTTTAATTGCTCTATATTAGAATCTGGAGAGAAATATGATTCCGATTGCCAATGAGACAATTATTTCCCAAAAGTCCACAGTTCAGCCTTCAACTATGAACAAAACCCATACACGATAATCAGCTATAAAAGGCCTGGACATAACACAGTGTGAAAGAATTGACTTGAGACAACCAGCAGCCTGATTTAGGACTAAAAGCAAATATGAAAGACTGCAACTAACGACAAATTATAGACTAACTTGTACCATACCGTAAATTGTTAATCTCTGGTAATTTTAGGATAAATTAGTCTCAGAAATGTCCACCCTCTTATATTTGATCTGTAAGGATTAGCAGATTAAGGGAAAAGTTAAAAGCGAAAAACAAAACAATGCAAACCTGCTTGGGTTTAGAAAATTCAGAAAATTTAAACTGTGAAAATAAAGTCATTTATGAAATATCAACTATTTTAATAATGGCACAATTTTGAAATATAGTTATGTTTTTTGTATCATGTTTCCTTTCATATCAAATTGCATTCTTCCCCAGGAAACCAGAAAAAGGAATAGAGTTTTTATGTGAGTGTGGATTTGTAGAAGAAAATCCACATGCAGTAGCAAAATTCCTCATCTCACGGAAAGGACTTAGTAAACAGATGATAGGAGAATACTTAGGGAACCTACAGAATGAATTCAATATGGAAGTCTTAGAGTAAGTATTTGCCAAACATACAGATAGCTTTTATGTAAATTCCATCGGTTAAGCGGTAGGCCTAGCAGTCATTTTTGATTGGCATCCTACAACTGGTATTGGGTCTTAGTTAAATGTAAGTTAAGGCTTTGAAGTTCAAATGCTATAAACCAATTAGAGAAGTAAACTTTGTGAATCCAGACATGTGACAGACTTTCTTTTGAAGTTGGACTCCTCTTAATCTTGGGTTTAAACTCCTGTCTCCTGGTTATATAATGAAAGACAGTATAATAACCTTCAGAAGTGGCTTATTTGACAAAAACAACACTTCTCGTAGTCTCCAATGTCAAAGACCATTCTCATCCTGAATTCATATTTCTTGTGACGTACTGAAAATAGTATTTGCATATTAATCTTTCTTCTACGTGCTACTGTTCATGTACTTAAATATTTCTATTTTACGATTTAATTTCCCGTCACAAAAACAGAGAGGTATTGAACATAAATTATCTCAGATGTTACACAAAACAATAAGCTTATATTTAGATTTTTCTGTGGTGACATGTTTTGTTTATTGAACGTGTATGCAGAAGTGTATAGATTTGAAGGTCATATGAAGGATATTTATAAACATAAGAAATGGGTTTTTATACCAAATTCAAAGATTTTATTTTCCTTATAAAAAATTTTAAAATTAATTGTATTCACTCCATTGGCATATCCTGAGGACTTTCAAACGATAGCAGCAGAGAAAAAAAACCAAAATAACGGAGCTCGACAGTCATAATCGAAATATTGTACTAAAAATAACAAATTTACAGCCATTTTGCATGATTTAGCAATGATTTTGTCTTGGCTTGCCACCTCTTCAGGACTTGCCCTTGTACAGTTCAATATTTGATCATCCTTAAGTAGTATGTATTAGTTTTGGGAGTACTAATGATGAAACTATATAATGTTATTACTTATTCCGTTTGTAGAACAACAGACATCTGAGAGATGAAATAAATCATTAGGTCCTTCAGATGTGTAGGGAAATGTTTATTTATAAATAATAAACAAAGACTTGTTTGATCTGGTCTACATATCCCTGAGGTTCAGTTGATTGAATAAGTCATCTAGATAAGACATGCCTTGGATTAATTGAAGCATACAATGTCATTTCTCAGTTACATAATAACACTATAGTTCTATGGTTTTATCCGGTATATCTACCCCATTTCATTAAATGTCGATTATAAGTTTGCATAAGTAATGGATCTTTTACTCTCATTTGGAATTCCTGACTAAATGCTATCACTCCAAGGCAATAATAAATGTTCCTGGTTTATTGTACTTGTCCCTGACCATTCCCTTGTAAATTAGCAATAAATAATTAAAGGTTAGGTGTCAAGAGAATTTGGGTATAAGTTTAAGGTTAGGGCTCATTACAACACAACCTTTAAAGAAAACATGTATTTAAAGCAAATTGTTGTATTATTAACCAGCATGCTTCACAGCAGTGTTTGCATAAGCTTGCATGTTGTAGTAGTTAACAAGAATATCAAAATGTCTATTTCACATAAAATATTTTTATGCCAAAAATGTTATGGCAATTTGTGAATGATTCATCAGTGACTTTTTAATTACAGATGTCTTACAAAATTTTGAACATAAAAATGACAAAAGAGCTATACTCTTGACAGTGAAAATACATCAAAATCTGTAATATCCTTCTCACAACTCATTTGCCAACATTAAAAAAGTTGTGAAAAAAAGCTGTTGTACTCTTTATAATGGCACTTCTGAAACAAGTTGATTCTTTCATTTATTGCTTTCAGAATGTTTCAGATACAAATGGATGACACTTGAGAATTCAAGTTTTTCTGAGAATTATGCCATTAATAGTTGAATGAGTTGATTAAAATGACATTATTTTTTTCTGTTAATGGAAGGAAATTTAAGAGTGGCATGTCATCTTGCTGTTATTTGTTAATTACATATAAATATGGCTTCATTAGTGATTTCTGTTTGATGGTTTTAAAGACAGCCTCTCATTATGTGGGATTTTATGTATTTATAACTCATTCTTTTTTTTGGTTTGATAAAAGAGCCTTAAAGTTAGATATATGGTAATTATGGACACTTGTCATGCAACAGCTAAATTTTTATAGATAAGATGCAAAAGTTTATTAGATTCAAGTGCTAAAATTTTATATCAGTTACAAGAGCTTAATTTTTTACTTTTCATGTTGCTTCTGTTTTTTGTTGATCGCTTTAACTAAGCCTTCCTTTTAGTCGAAAGTCAGTATCTGACAGTTTTGCGTTATTTTTGTGTTGAAGGAAAAATGTTGTTTTTATAAGGCACTCTGTCCTTTTGATTTCGTGGTAATTCTATGAGGTTTTCTTGAATACAGTCTTCAGATGTTGTTTTATATGTTAACTGTTTTGTATTGCAAAATGTATCAGCAGGTGACCGATCACCTTTGAGGAAAACTTAACTTAAATTGTGGGAATATTGAACTAAAAGTAAAAATAAAAGCCACACAAAATGTATACTTAGCTTTCATTCTAAACTATAATTGCATGTGAAGGATTTAATTTGTAAGAACTGTGAGTTGGAAGCTTATAGACACAGTATGAAGTTCTGTGATTCCAGACAAAGGCAGATGAAAGGTATTGATCTAACTTTAAAACATGCAAATCCCCAATGTAACGATTTTGTGATAAAAATCCCAAGGTATTCAAACTTTCAACACTTTATTTCCAATAGATCTCTTCCTTGGGCAGAAACAAAATAAAATTATTGTCAGAAAGCTCATTACAGAAAAATCACACACTTTCATAATGGTATTATGATATAGATGGATCAATAAAACAAGGATTTTGTTTAAAATTGTAAAGCTTTTATTATACATAATGGCATTTGATCAATATTTGAGGAAATTATGAAATTTTAATCATTAACAAGTGTTTAAAGAGTAAGGTAACCAGGTATCAGGCTTTGTGTTCTATTCTTCGATTTTTATTTGCTGAATGCTATTCTTAAAACATTTAACTTGAAAATAGGATTATATTTAGAAGTTTTTGTTCCTCTAAAGCACCATAAATGCATCATATTGTGCAGTCATCTTCATATTTGATTTTCTTGTTGTTTACATCTGCAAATCAGCATGCAGAATGATTTCCCCCTGAAACTTGATACATAATGAAGCATTATCACGCAACTGTCCCTCTTTTTTTGAGGGTTTGTACTGTGAAAAGTTTGCTATCATCGTGCAGTCAGTCTCTGGTCTCATTATTATAGATCCAATATCTATTTTGTTCAAAAATGAATCTTTTAGAGGAATGTTCATCCTAACTATAGGGTCACCAAATAAACTAGAGTGTGTATTTATGCATGCACATCCAATAGTTATTTACATATTGAAAAACTAAAACTATATAAAAACATTTCTGTAATGCCTTTGTTCCTAACTGTCTTAGTCTGTGTAAACTCATCTTAGCTGAGTCACTGATCTCCAATGTGAATTATATTCCTTTGTGCCAATTACAACTGAATGACTGGACATCATCAACTTCCTGGAGGCTGATTTAGAATTAGTTGTCATTAGAATAATAATTGCAAAACTAAGATGAACAGAAAGGAAAATAGCAAATGCAAAATTTACTGCTTGCTTCATTCTCTCATTGAAGCAAAACCCAAGAGAACAGCAAACCAATTAATTTGAAGTAATAATTAAAACATCAGTTTAAATAAAGTATCACTTCTTAATTATTAATGTCCTCATTAATGGTTTTATACTGAAAAGTACTTTTACTCAAGGATTCCAATTTCAGTAATAGGGTCTTGGGAGGTTAAATCTAATTTAAATTTGTTATTACATTCATTTTCATCTTGATGAATGCACATGAAATACTGTTTGTTAAAAGTTAATAGAACCATTTCCATAACATGTTAAACTAAATTATAGGTTTGACTGCTTTTAAACATAGGACTTTCACAAAGAAATAAGATCTGAATTGTTGGAAATTTGAATTTGTAATTGTAATTTATCCACTAAAATTGGAACTTACTTATAAATATACTTCCAGGCTAGTTAAGTGGGTTAGATTTTTTTTTTTTTCACATACGAAGTACATTGATTGGTTAAATAGTAATGGTTAAGAGCTATTGAACTTTTAAGAAACAAAAAAGGAAACCTCATCAAATAGATAATGATGCTTCATACTGTATATTATATGGTTAACCAGGGTATTCTTGTGTAAGTGCTCTCCATATTTTAGATGGAAATCTATTTCCCTGGCTAGACATATGTCAGATTATCTGCTTTATGATGCTCCAATGTTTAATTCTATAAAATACAGAAAGGTTTATGCATTGTCTAGTTTATTCTCTCTGGACAAACGTGGGAGTGATATATTTACCAAGTAAATATACAGACAATCTGCTGTGGGAGTTCCATTTTAATCAAAAATGTACTGTTTCAGAGTTGCAACTTTTGTGGTCACCATTGGTTTATTGGAAAGATACCTTTTTGCACTGATTTCAATTTTTTTTGTTTAATTCAGGGATGCGCTCGGTTGGCATGTTCTGAACAGTTTCCGTCTGTTCCAAATCCAGATGCCAATCGAACAATTTGGAACCAGATGTATCTCATTGGTGATGAACTCAGCCTATAACAAACTCGGCCTATAGCAAATTTGGACCATAACAAACTCGGCCTACCATTATTTATATTGAATAAAAATAAAGAGAACAATGTGGCCTATGCATTGTAGATTATGTTTTAATTTGTTTTTTTGCTTACTCTTTTTATATTTGAATTTACGAGTTATAATAAATAATTCGGATTTTCGAGTGGCTAGACTTAATTTTAACCGACTTCACTTTTCCGAAGTTGCATCTATTGGCCTTTCCAAACAAACCATGATTTTTTTCAGTATCCAAATAAAAATTTCTCTGACTTCAAAGTTGTTGTAATTATCATTATACGAAAAAGACACATTTTTCCCTTAAAATAATGCTTATATGATCAAAT